TGGCGGCACAAAACGGTAGAGGGACGGGAACTGTACGGCTAACTTTTTCTTCTTGTAGGTGTTGGTAGAGCAATAGACATGGAAGTCTTGATCAGTTGATGCTGTGAAACAGATGACTTTTTGAAGGTTGAGTGCGTCCCTGATGACTTTCTCCGCAACTATGACTGGTGCATTTCTGAAATTTTGAAGAGCTCCTGGATCACGCACAAGTAGTACGTGGATCATTCAGTCGTGTAGGATGGCATAATCAGAGCAATCATAGTTTTCACCGGTTCCCCTTTGAAATTTGTCTTTCTGTTTACCATTCCAAGCCCATCCAGATTGTATACAATGTAGGAGATTGACGAAGTCAGGATCTTCATGGGCACGCCAATTTTTCTTTAACTCTACGACGTGTGTTAACTGACGCCATAGAAAAGTGCCATGGAGTGCTGATTGGCTATAAGTGGTTTGTGTGGTGTTAGGCATCAATTTAGTGATTAATTGATTACTGAATAAAGCATGACCTCGCACAGGTGCCAATTGACCAAAATCTCCTGTGAAGATGACATTTACACCACCAAATAGCTTATTTGCAGTGTTTCTATCCCAAGCTTTGACAGTACTCATCCTATGGAAAATGTCACTGAGCAGGCGTGCAGATACCACGGAAATCTTGTTGATGACAAAATACTTGATGTTGCGCCAGATTACTTCTAATTGCTCTTGTTTTGGTTTGTGTTCGGTTTTTGGTAGAAAAGTCAGTGCGTGAATTGTGTAACCTTTTATTAACACAGCGGCACAACCTGTGGGAGCACTCATGATAATCTGATAAGCAGCATTGTTTCTCTTGAATAATTCAACAATTGCATTGATAACATGGCTTTTTCCAGAACCACCTATACCCGTGATATGCAGCAAGAGCTGATCATCAGCATTACGGAGAAAATGGTTGCCAACTATCCAAAATGCTTGTTCTTGCTTGTTGTTACCGGCGATGCCTGTGTTGCGGATCACATCTAAGAGATAGTCAATAGGAGAGGATGTGGATGGGAGGGCATGATGTGAGGGACTTGCAATCTCACTGACATGCGTGAGGGGCTCAGCAAAATCCTCCAAATGCTCGGTTGGTGGCAAGTCATCACTATTTGAAGGTCTGTCCGATGTAGGTCTTTTTTTTGACTTGATCTCTTTCATCATCAACGCTTGTATACCTATTAACCTTTTGTCACAACCAGCCATGAGAGTTGAGTGGTGAAGATTGGGGTTTATAGGTGCATTGGGAATAACATCGAAAATCCCACAGTGATTCATGTTAAGAAGAATATGTTCACAATCAGTGAGATCACTGCTTTCCGTTTGAGCTACATCTTCCTCGAAAGCATCATCATCATGATCATCTAACCCCATTATTTGCAGGGAGGGGTCATTTAGAACAGAGAATCCGAGACCCTCAATGTCATCCGAATGCTGCATACCATCCATTGCGGTGAATAGTTCAGGTTGATGAGGGTTTGTTCGACGGACGTGGGAGTATAGGTCTTTTGCGTCCTTGCATTCATTTTCAATGTTCATATTTGCCATGAGCATTTTATGTTTAGGTGAGAAATTATAACGTTGAAATGCTTCTGTCCAACTCTCGTTTGTAGATCTCAAGTTGGAGGGACGTCTCCAGGGCTTGAACAAAATGAGCATCGCCCAACTCCAATCATCAAACTCCTCACCATCACAATCTGGTCTTGGAAGACGGCGCCCCAGAAGGACAGGCATGAGATGATGTTCTCTCATCCGGATTAAGTGTGTCAAGCGTTGTGGGTGTTCATGCAGGAATTGCCCTTCGGGTGCCGCAGATCTACCAGGTCGTAGTCGCAAACATCCATCCTCATGACAAACCTCATCTGTATGATCCAACCACGTTAGTCTTGCAGACTCATGGGAGCTAAGGATCTTTTGGCAGAATTCAATGTAGTCCCATATAATGGATTTTAGCCATGTGACCTCACATAGCCACCTGACCACAGGGAGTGCATAAAAGCAAAGTGGACCAGCCAGGGATTGAACCCAGGACCTCTGCCTGCCCACATATGGTGGTGCTCTAACCAACTGAGCTACCAGCCTTTGTACTAATGTCAACTCATAACATGTGTTGTCTAACAAGGCTAACAGGCTTTGACCTTGATTATTCCAACAACGAAAAGAAGACTTTGAAAAACCTCTTCTTCACTACGATAGCAATAATCTTGTAAGTTGCTATCGATTGAGATATAGTTGTTTTTGACACTCACACTAATCTCCTCTGTGAGTGCAGTTTGATCATCAGCACGGGAAAGTAGGTGCCCACCGTTGTCATGAAAAGGGACATTACTATCATCTTCTGCAGAGGATGAAGACCAAAGGTCTCCGGCAAAGTGGGAAGACATGTATTAGTCAAATTCGGACTATCTAAGAACACGAAAGGAATGACTGGTATAACAGTCCCCTCCTCCAATGAAGTAGGACATGACTTGTTGATGTGACATTTCTTGACGAGCCATTATAGCATTTACACTTTTAGTGAACAAACTTCGACTCCTCACCGACTCAGGAGTGTCGTCACTTTGGGGAAATTTCTTCTCGTTCTGCTTAATTGTGTAATGCAATGCGTCCAGGCCAACGTGCACAGGGAGCGTGCTCTTAGTGATATAATCGCTTATATAGTAAAGTAAGGCTTTCGCCGCTTCACCCGAACCAACATATTTGATGTCCATATTACACTTAAGTAGGAAGATAACAATGTCATTAAAGTTGTTAATCTTTGGGTGCAATCTCCGCAATAATATTCCTTGCGTCTCACTATCATATTCAGTGAGAGAACGAGTAGACCCGTTTATTTGCATCCTACAATGTTGGTCATCGCAAGGCTCTCCCGGTCGCAAGTGTTTCCAGCACGTGTCTGTATGCTCGTGCCAAGTACATGTGAGCGCTAAATCAGTAACAAAGTCTTGAAAGTGTTGTGCAAAATGAACGTCGTCTTCACTCAATATCGGCCAATCAGCGAGTCTAGGATCTAGTTGGTCAGGTGCACGTGGAGGCCTCTGAAGTGGATGGTCAGGGCTGTCGATTACGACTTCCGTTGTACCAGGCAGCTTACATTGAATGATAGACTCCAACCAAGTGAAAATCTGGGTCTTGTAGTTGTCATCTGCCAACATGCGATCACACAAGCTTTGAGGGTTAGGATTGCCGCGTATCCATATCAGCATGTGACAATGCAAAGTACCTCTCCCCTGAGCCTCAACCATCCCATAGTATGCGTCACAAACACCGAACAAGCCAGGTTGCTTGCTACCATACTTCAAAACGATGTTTATAAAACTGGTAATGATATGATCGAAACAGAGAGCGGCTGAACCGCGGTTCTTTGCGACAAATACAGACCTTTGCAGTATACTCAAAACCAAAGAGACCGACCAAAAAGTGATTGATATCTGAAGGATTAATAGTCAAAAATAAAGCCGGAGTACCTAACAGCTTCATCAACGCACGGATCTCATTGCGCCAACACTGCTTGTAGCCACTGCTACCCTTCACATCCTTGGCTAAGAATTTTCATCGATCAAGAAGCTTGACAGCAGCTTTCTGTTGACGGTTGGAAGGTTTCGCGTAAGGGTTGGACTCCCAGATACGAATGAGATCGGTAAGTGCGGGTGCTTGTTCACTAATTTGTCTACCTATTGATATGCGTTTGGAAGCTTGAACACGAAAGGTGACATGTTTCATGACTTCACATCGCTGCATTATGTTCCAACAAACATACGCAAAGTCCGGGTCACTTTGAAAGGGAGAGTCATCTTGCAATATCAAGTTGCGAAACTGGCGCTCAAAAGATATAGCTTGGTCAGGACGTTGATCGGGATGATGAAAACAGCCTATTCCCCAGGGGTCTAAGTGGGGAAAAAGGTAGGTCAAGAGGGCAGGATCGTGGTCAGCAAGTAGGCTGGAACCAGAACGCATCTCAACAAATTGTTTACCGTCTAGACAGTGGGCAAGAGTAGTAGCTTTCATCAGCCGATAGCTAGCAGGTGAGTGATCTCCATTTGTGTAACCCACAGCTTTGAGAACAAAATCAGAATTGTCTTCTTCAGTGTATGTTCAACGAGGTTCTCCTCACGATCAGTATAGTTAGCGCGACACGAAGCGGTCTCACCAACTATTTCACTTGGAAGGAAATTAAGTTGGACGGCAGCGGGAACACCGTGAGATGAAGGTCCGTCATATAACGTGTCTAAATTTTCTTGACTGAAACCCACTCCACATTCTCTGTACCACGGGTTATTTGCGACCAAAAATTGAATCATAATTTGAACATTATGTTTACTGCATAATATGGGGCTAATCTTGGCAACATTTGCTCTACTGACAACAGAATCCTTTCCTACGAAAACAGTACAAACAGCTTTGGCAATGTCTTCGGAGGAAGGGGGCAAGACCTGTCGTAAGTGAACAGAGTCTTGAGGGATGATAGCAACATTGCCTCGGACGTAACGTTGGGACGCGGTAGGATCGCCATTAAAGGTTTTGTCTGAAAATAGATAGGAATGAACGGTTGCACGTGCGCGAGATACCATGCTTTTATCAAACATACTGGCAGCAGAAAATGCATTACGTTCTGTAACAGGTACACATCGATGGCCATAATATTGAAAGTTTGCTAAAGCATCTATTGGCTGCTTATTGTTATGAAGCAGGCTGTGCCGACAACTCCCACAAATGTTGATGTCACCAAGTAACCAAGGGGTGTGGAGCCCATTGACGTGTAAGATTGCCTCGTTGTATAACGCAAAGTCATAGTTGTCAGGTAACACATGACGGGGGAGGAAAAGGTTTGTCAAGAGGGAAAGGTCAATGTCAGAGCCATGCACAACATGAATATGAGTGGGCGCAAACCTGTGAGCACAAACGGCGCAAGTCTTCCTGGTAAGCGCATCAACAGCGTATTGAGTTTGCCACGCACGAATAATGTCATGTTTCTATTCTTGTGTAGCGATCCAAGGAAAGTTAGCAGTATCAGCGACATTGTGTGTGTGTTGACGTGCGTATGTTAATCTTTGCAGTTCCGATTCTCTGTCCAACGCACCGAGGTGCTCTCGCAAGGCTTCATGCATTGAGATGGCGGGCGGAGCGTTTTGGAGTCGAGTACGAGGGTGAATCATGACTTGAAAGGTAAATATGAGCCGTGGGGAACAGATCTGAGAACAAGTATGATCATGTAGCAAAGCGAGGAGCACAGATTTGGTAGCACGACGAATAGAAGTGATGTTATGGGTTGCCGCAATGGATCGCAATTGTGAACAAGTCAGATAAGTATAATTGTCTACTAAGTGAGTCAGAGAAAGGACCTGTACAAGCAGCATACGTCCAACGGGATAGCAAGATAGTGTAGGGAGTTCCTCTCCATCAAACACACAAGAAAACGCAAACCACTGGTTGAGACGTGCACTTGTGATTTCCCCCTCAACATCACCTTCAGTTTCAGACACCACCAGTGAGTGAATCATAAAGATCACGACCAGATCACGACCTAGAAAGACACGACCGTTCTGATAAAATTGGATATTGACCAGACCAGGGATTGAACCTGGAACCTTCTGGATACATGCCAGCTGCTCCACCAATTGAGCTATATGGCCAAGGTTATACAATGTAGGATCTTAAACATGACATGCAACCACGGACGTCTTACACAGAATAGCTGCTGCATACTGGGCTGGCTTACAAATCAGAGGTATTATCCTATGGAGTATTGGTATGTCAGAGTATATTCTAACACGTTCAAGGATTGGGAGAAGGATAATGAGATGGAGTGTAGTAGTCGACTACTTGGAGAGCGATTATCGATAACGATAAGAGAAGGGTACAAAAATGAAAAAAGGAGATATTGTAAACAAGGACAAACCGGAAGACGGTCCTATACAATTTGCGACGAGGAATGCTATCTATCAAACCTGGTCACTGAGGGACCAGGAATATGTTAGGTAACAGGTGTGACTCAGGTGAGTAAATTACTAGAACCATTTGATTATCGTAATTTGATGCATCACAGGACTGCCATTCAAACCCTCAGGCCTCAGGAGGCGTATGGGAAGTCTCAGCGCCCTGTATAGGTATACAACCTGCCGTCAGTGAGCGTCAATCTATAATGCAGTGGAGTCACGTCGCGTTTAGCAAGTTTGATTTTGGGATAGTCCCGAAGATGGCAGTGGGCCCGAATGTCTGCATAATGGTTCAACCATGATCAATGCCTACATCAGGTTGTATACCTATACAGGGAGTGTCGTACCACTGTTTAACGTCCAGTGACCAGTTCTTATTAATATGAGGTTGCCTAATGCGCCTAATGCCCATAGCTTTAACCTACACACTCAACCGGTAGAGCACGGTTTTTTATAATGCCTGCTGAAGTACCTCTCATTTCAACAAACCTCGCAACAGTTTGCATCGAAAGCTTCCTATATGGTATATTCTTTGTCCTGTCCTCATCGTCGGCGTTCCTCTTGATCACTCGCCACCCATCCCGACATACCCAAAGTTTGGCCAAGGGCAGAAGATCAATCCTCAAAATGCCCATTTTCGTGGCGACTGTACTTCTCTTTATCACCGTTACTGCTGTTTGTGCATCTCTTTTTTTCTTTCACTTAACCCTCTATCTTAAAGCACCATGTGCAGCACTGGATCACAACTTTTCTGCGGCTTTTCCAGGCTTTTGTCATCTATGAAAGTGGGACTTCACCTTTAATGTTCTACGGTGACTTGTCGCAAACTACAGAAGTCGTCAAAACTGGACTTCTAATGGCATCCCTGATTAATGGTGATGCAATGATTGTACGTCAAGAGGATGGCACCTATGTCACATCATTTACAGAGCTCTATACAGATTTATCGATTATGGCTGATTTGGAATCGTAAATTCTGTGTGATCATTTTCCCTCTTTGTACTCTTATCGGCCTTACCAGTAAGCTTACTTCATCGTATATATTGATCTGAGTGGCGACTCATCATGGCACTTAGTCTGTGGTGTAGGTATTACATACCAATTTACCCAGTACCATATAGGGGAGGATGTTTTTCTCACTCAAGCCGGACGTTGGATCACCAGTGACTGTGTTTTCACCATATGGTATGCTTTATTCAGTCTTGGGTACAATATCTTTCTGACCTATCACTCATGCGACAACAGTACAAATATATACAGTACATGTTGTACCTATCTTTTTTTATCATTTTTGTTGAGCTAAACTTCAACCTTACATATAGTGATGATTGCGTGGAAAGTTTGGAGTACCAATAAGATCTCGAGGGCTCATGGTCATACAGGAATGAGCTTGTTGGTGAGCTGAAACGACCAGATTATCCAGGAATTTTGCTTATGCTTTGCTCAGCCAATCCTAGCTACCTTAGTGGAAAGTGCTGCTCTTTACACGTATGTTTATAGCTAGCTCAGATGCACGCAGCTCTGATAAATCATCTAGGACTTGGACCATCTTATTCTTTGTGACATACCAATCACACACAAATTTCCAGTTCACAGTCGTGGATACATGGGTTCCAATGGCTGGTATTGCGTATATGCTAATTAATGTCCGTGTTGGGTTAGGCTGGGCACAGTCCTCAAACCAAAGCTCTTTTGCCTCTCAAGAGCCGGCTATTACTAGAGGTCAGGGAGGAGGCGACTCCTACTCAATGCGCCCTCTCGCAGTAAACATTACCCGTGTGGTAGACAACGATGGTGAGCTTGATATGGGTATATTATCCGTTGAATACGGACGGGATAAGGCTGGCATTAGGGAACCTGTTTGATGTCCATTTATTTATTTATTTTGCGTCCTTTTGATGAAGATCAGAGCATACTTAACGTTACATCGTTGGACAGCTGTTCATAGTTACCTGTGTGCTAATGTTGATAAACCCTATCCACAAGCTCAATAGCTAAAAACGTCCAAGTCGAATATGTAGCCTTCTGTAAATTCCTGGTCCAGGTTAGTCTCGAATCCAGACGGTCCGGGAAGGAGCGGAGGTCCCGGACCGTCTGGAGACATTCGTTTAAGGACGAGTGCATCGAGTCACACTGTCACACTTATAGCCGTTTTTGGGTAGAGAAAGCGTCCAAAAGTAGAAATTGATAATGTTTCGTCATCATGATTACTTGTCCAATATACATACAAATTTTTGGGAGTAGTGCAATAACCATTGCCCTCTGGGGCAGATCTGGCCCCGGCTGTGTCCAGATCACACAGCAGGCCATTACAGTTAACATTTTGTGTGGTCTTTACTGCGATCACAGAGCAACAACATACAATGGATGCAAGAGTGAGTAGCACCAAGGTAGCCACGTGACAATTGGTCAGTAGTTTGTAGTTGCTTTCATAGCGGGCTTCTTCAATGTGAACAGTGCAGAGCATATACTGTTATGTGATGTATGCTTCCCCAGAGGGAAGCATATGAACGGGCGTTGGCGGCATAAAGACAGAGGAAGATTGTTCCTTGTACATTGCGAATCCAAACTCAGGTGCCTGTGTGAGGAAAGATAGCACTCATGCTAGATCATGCTGATGGCAAGAGGGAGCAGCCTGGCACTCAAGTTGTCGTATTTGCTGTAATATAAGAGGCGTCTTGCGTCCAATGGCTCGGTGCTCTTGTAAAAAATGACTGTGATTGTCAACCCACTGTGAATATACTCAGAAGGGGATGTTGAGATTGTTGTGGGATATGACAAATAGCATTTGCTTGATTTGCTTCCATACTTTCACCATCTGGTTGGTGGAAATGGCATTGAATGCACGGGTCGTCCACCGGTGACTCTTGGTGACACACAGAGTGCAAAGAAGGTTGAGGCTTTTGGCGGCTATGCCTTGTGAGCGAAGGAATGTGGTAAGAAGTTTTGCCCATCAGTTGTGGTGGTGCAAATGAGAAAACATAATTTGGAAAATTATTGAAATAATGACCTGTATATCATCAGTTGACAGGAGTAAGAGAAAGTTTTGATACTTACCAGGTTGGTTCTCTGCTTTGCATTGCATTTTTCCTGTGACTTGATCCTTGTTAGTTGCTGTAGTAGTTTCCATAGCACAGGCATACCATCAAAGCCAGGGCTTTAAAGCTTGAGGACAAGGTCTTCAATAAAGAGGCTGGTAAGGCCCTCCTCAGAGACATCTTTGGGAGGGCATTTTGCGAGGTCCTAAATTTTCTGCAACTCGCCCTCAAGCACCTCTTCTATGCAACCAAACAAAAACTCCAGGACTGCCTTTGCTCCACTTGCCCGTGCCTTGTGTGTGCCCTGTGTGCGTGGTGGCTTAGAGCAATGTTTCAATATCTCAGGTAATTCTTTGCTGACCATGAGGTTTGTCCTTTCATAGCAAATCTTGTGGTTGGTGGTACACTGGTGGTCCCCCAGCTTAGATAATTGAGAAATAAAGGGAGGTTGAGTCTAAGAGAAGACATTTAGTCTAGAATTGCTTGAATTTTGAGGATAGGACTGCTGTGGAATTTGCTCTTGAGGTACACCGTATGTTGCACCTGAATTGGCACGTGGGGAGGGTCCTCAGAATCACTGTCGCAGTCTGTGTCAGTAGAATTAGACAATGTATGTACACTAGTATGTGCTAAAAGTGTGAAGGGGTTGTCTTTGTCATCAAAATGCCCGCCAGTCACAGTAGTATTGACCTCACAGTCCATTATGTTGGTTATGGTAGGAGATAAGATAATGAATCTATTTTTACACTACATTACAAGTGCTTGGCTAATTGAGCGTGACTTGATGCACTCGGCCTGTATCAAATGTCCCCAAATGCTAGCTCTGGGTTTGAGACTAGGTCCAGGTTTAATCAATTTAATTGATTGCATTCCTCTCATTGCAACTTGTTTAGGTCCGGCTTCCAGTTTGTATCTGTTTTCCTTTTTTTAAACTTGTTTTGTGCGCCGTTATCTTATCAATTTTGCTTGTGTCTCCTACTACATGTTCTTCTGCTTCACCTAATCATTTATCCTGTCTCTTTCTAGGTCTTTCTAGGTCATGATCAGGTTGTGCTGTGTTTATATGATTTGCTCACTCGTTGTATGTGAATCTGAATGTAATGTTGAAGGAGAAATAATCTTCTCGTCTGAGGCAGTGGTTTTGTTTTTCTTCTGTGTTTGATGGGCAGGATCTTCCTCCACATTCTTGCTATCCTGTTGGACAGACATTGCTTGTACAGGTCTTTTCACTGTGTCAATTACTGCAAAATTTCTCCTATCTCACTTGTTTGCAATTGAGGTTCATTGCTGCCATGCATAATGTTGCCTCTTTCTGTTGTGCCACAAAACCTGTGCTTCTTGCTTTACTTTGAGATCATTCCTGTTCTGACAGCTTGATTTTATCATTTTAAGTCTTGCTACAACCTCGTACTTGTCCCCAAAATGATCTGCCCCCATCTCAATGGATGAAGCATTACAAAACTGGCTCCATGCATTGCACAGAGAATCCGAACAGCAAAAACACTCATACACATGACAGCAAGCACTAAATTTTCCTGAATGTGAACAGTTTCCTTGGCTTGCTACTCATTAACAGAAGTTTGACATAATCCGTGCATGGCAAAGCCGCTACGCTGTTAATGTGCTATTTGTGCTTGTAGGTTTGCCCCCACTCATATTCAAATTGTCCATGCCTCTGAATTTGACCCCTCACTATTGACTAACTTGTACCTTCCCCCTCATGTCTTGTCTGATGATTATGACTTTGCCTTATACAATGAGGCAATGTTGCACATCAAAGGCCTCCACACACCTTGGCTGCTTGGTGATCTCAACATTTGTGGGAGTTGTTGGCACTGGTTGATTGAGAAGAAGAAGCAGCCATTAGATGCATGAGCTAACTTTCAATATTACGGCCATCACCGTGTTCCTGCTACTGAATCTAATGCATTTTCTGCTGCTAGTATGTTCAACAAAAACATGGTATTGTGTGCATGTGCAACCATTTATTCCTATGTATTTACAGACAAAACTTCATGTGGTGACCCTACTGCCTCTCAACACTACATTTGGGGCAATATAGCCATCATACAGTAAAACTTGGTTCAATTACAACAAGTATTGCCCCCTTTGAGCAATGAGACTGGTAAAGCCGTTTGTACCATTTTTGTAGGCAAAGATTCAGTTGTCTCTGGAGAAAATATTGCCAAGATTAGCCCAATATTATGCAGTCAACACAATTTTCTGACAATGATTCAATTTTTGGTCCAAAATAACCAGTAGTACAGAGAATGTGGTGTTAGTTTCAGTCAAGACAATCTAGATGCATGGTATGCAGGACTTTTCCCTCAGGGTCTTCCTACCACTGTGAAGTTAAATTTCCTGGCCAGTAAAAGTGAAGGACAGATTGCTCCATGTTACGCAAACTACACCAATTGTGAGCTGCATATTGCTCAAAATAACACTGGTGAAGACAATCCACTTTTCTTGCTTGAAGCTACGGGATACACAAGTGGAGACCACTCACCTGCTAGCTACTACTAGATGAAAGCTACCACACTGGCCTATTGTCTAGATGGAAAACATTTTGTTGAGATGTGTTCTGGGTCCTCTTTACTTCCAGATGATGATTCTGCCATGTTGACCTACCTTTTCCCTCACTTAGACACCTGGGGAATTGGTGGGTTTCATCATTGTGATCAAAGACCTTACCAAGCTATATCTTCAGAGTGGCAGTTTTGCAATTTGCTCTTGCGGGACAACTCACCCTTTTAACCTGACCCTGATTTGAGACACTGGGATAGGTGGTAACAATGAGCAACAATGTGCATTTTGGATTATTGGCAACTATTTTCTCTGCAATGCTGAGGAACAACTTTTGCTTTATATAACAGGTATAGGTGGCTCTGGCAAAAATCACGTTGTCAATACAATCATTGAGTTATTCAGGAGAAAATGCTTCCCACCAAATTATCATGAGTGCCCCCACACGATGTGTAGCTGTGTTAATCAAAGGCTACACTATCCACACCTTTTTGGAAGTCTGGAAACCATGGCCTGTGGCATGGATATGAGACATAGACAAGATTTCCATGGTTTCTGCATGCCTCTTGAGTGACATTTCACATTGCATGAGTGCTGCTAAGGCTTAGAATAAAAATAGCGCAAATAAGTGACAAAACCAGATAAACCTGGTCAATGATAAAGCAGGCATTGTTCTCCATGGAGTGACCATTGTTCTCCTAGGAGCACAATTGCACTCCTAGGAGTTATTATACTGTAGCAAGTAGCACCTCTGACTATAAGTAGAAGTAGTAGGGGGTTTAGTATAGGAATACCTCGGTTGTTTCTATAGCCTCTCGGGCAGCGGCTGAGGAATGTTTCATTACATTTATTAGAGATCTCCTTAAACTAACATCTATTGTAGTTTCACTTAGGTAAATAATACAGTTGTTTCTATAGCCTCTTGGGCAGTGGCTGAGTTTCACTTAGATTTGTTAATAAGCCTTTTGGTGGAGTAAATGTCATCTTTACTTGAGGCTTTGGCTAATTGGCTCCTATGTATGATCATGCATTATGTAGCAATCAATTTCTGACTTGATCTGTAAGGATGAGCATAATATATTGTTCAAAGATGACAGGATATATAGATACAATATTGTCCAGTGTCAACTTACTGATTAATTTAAAACTTGAGGTTGCGTGATCAAGTGTCTGTTTTGATGCAGGTCAATAGATGATTTTTAAGCTTTATTGAAAAAATTGTGTTCATGATTGGGGATATTGTTGCATTACCTTCACAGCAGGATTAACACTATGTTTATTTGCAGACATTATAAAATGTTCTGGGTAGTTTTGAGACTTTCCCATAAGATAGTGATTCTTGTTGTCATTGTGAACCTGATCTGAGTCAGAGATATCCACTGTCTTAGTTAAGGTTTTATGTTTCCAAACACCACGCAAACAACCTATGGCTAATCAGCCCTTCATGATGCTTTTCTGTGGTGTCAGATACCACACCGTGTAGAGTTAAAAAAAATTTGGCGCACACAATAGGATCCTGAGTCCGTTAACCTTCTATATTATGTACAATCTGGATACGCTTGGACTGGTAAAGTAGCCAAAGATGAATTTTAAAGGGGACCTGGTGCAAGCTATGATCATTCTGATTATGCTGTGCTAGAAGACCAGATGATCCACCTGCCTTGGTCAGTATCCTTATTACATAGCTAAGTATTTTGGTGAACTTAACAGCACAGGTGCTTGAAATTAATCCATCAAATACTTCAAGGCACCACTGCATCATGGCTTATGAAATTTAAGTGCAGATATAAATATAACAAGGGTGTCTGACAATATCATACAAGTATAATGCTAATATCTATGTCTGCACACACAAATATGGGTGAATGGCTTCTATATAGTGAGGAAACCTGGCTAACATAATCAGATACTGTCCTACTCAGCAGAGGGTACACTTTTTGTGCCCCTTGTCTATTTGCTTGATTATGCTTCTACTCATTTTACAAACAAAGCCATGTCCACAAAAATCAGAGCCATTGTGAGTTCAATAGCCTGGTGAGTGTTTTTTTTAGCTCTTACCAGAACATGTGTTATTGCAAACAGGATTTGGCCACTGATCATGGTCATTGCACAGCCTGACCATGTTAGACTTAATTGGGCAGATCAGCATCTGGACCTCGTTGCAATTGTCCACGCATATTGCATGTGACTGTGTATAATTCATGCATCTGAAATGACAATATGATGAAGATTATTAGTTTATAATACGGCTGATATAGGTGTTATGTGTCTTTATTATACCCCAAGTCTAGCCCTATACTGGGTAATAAGAGCCTCTTGTTTGGCTAGGGCCTCCTACTGCTGCAACAACATTAATTGAGATTCTTTTGCATCTGCCTGTGCCTTCCTTCTGGACTCATTTGCCTCATGGAGTTTCTGAGACATCTCCAAAGTGTCCTTCCATTGAGCCTGAACCAACCCTGTAATTACATTAGAAAATTTATTAATGAGATCATTTGTATCCTCCAGTGTGTTTTTTTGCAGATGGGGAGACATATAATGGATAAACTGAGCACCTAAAATACACCAGCAAATAGTCTCAACAGACATCCATTGTCACGCACCAAAAGTGATTGGTAGCTTGGACAGGTGTCAATAATGAAGCAAATATTCAAAAGACTCGCTTTTGTGCCACACAGGCACTGTGCTTGCTATACATACCACCCCACAAACAACCAGAGCACCCACTGTTCTAGGAGACAAAGCCCATAAACAAGTTCCATGGAATCTGGGAGGATTGTGTGTTAGTTTGTTTTGTGTGTGGTTTTTTAACAGCAGCTCTCATCACCAACAACACAAACTCCTCAAATGACTTGGATATCACTATAGACTCTGGGGCCACATCCCACTTTTGCCCTGACAAATCAGAATTCAAACAATTCACCCAAATACAACCACGCTTCATCAGCCTAACAGATAGAACTGATCTCCAAGCAACTGGGAAGGGCAAGGTAGACATCTATCTCCTAAATAAAAATCAACACACAAAAATAACCCTGAAAAATGCACTATATGTACCAAAAATGGCCATAATACTTGTTGCTATAAGCTGAATCAACAAAGCGGGCATGTCAGTCAAGATGTTGAATGGGAACTGCCATATAATAACAGCAAAGGCTAATATAATAGCTAATATCCCATTGGTAAACAGATTGTACCAAGTCTCTGCAAAAGAATATGCAAACACTGCTCGAACATTATGTATTGTTCACAGATAACTACTCTCGCAAAACAGCAGTATACTTCTCATCAAAAAAGGATGAAGTAATATCAGTTTTCTGAGAATTTGTACAAAAACTCACTACACAGCATGATGATACTAAAATAAAATGGCTGAGATCAGATGGTGGTAAAGAATACATAGGAAAGGAGTTTAAAATTTACCTATCAAAGCACAGTATTCATCACAAACAGACCCTCCACAACACTCCGGAACAAAACAACATGGCCAAACAACTCAACCATACAATAGTTGAAAACACTTGTACTATGATGTACAAAGCAAAATTACCAAAACACCTATGGGCCGAAGCAATCAATCATGCTGTATGGCTAAAAAACTAAACCCCAACATAATCCTTACCGGGAAAAACACCGTACAAATTGCTGATAAGAAGAAACCAAACCTATCAAATATACATCAGTTCAGATGCACAGTTTACGTAGAAAATATACTAGCCCAGTAAACATTGCATATTAGTCAAGCAAGAAGTTTATTTCAAACCCAAAAATGATGACTTATCAGGCAATGTTGTACTTGAAGGGGAGAACTCTGAAAACAACCACAATGTCACAAAAGTAACAATGAACAAAACAAAATGAGAACAAAACTCACCAAACATATCAACACCAACCTCATCCATCAACCAAAACTAATCCAACCTCAAAATAATCCAGAAGACCCTCCAACTCAACAACCCACCCGCAACAGACCACCCCCCGGGTTTTACACAGCATTGAATTGTGGAGAAAGAGCAACCATGGTCTGGACAGATAACAAAGAAAGCAAAATGGCGCAAGACAATAATGATGGAGATAAGGAATTTACTCTCATCCATCAAGTGCTTGTGTTACATGATACTGATTCCCCATTGGTATCTTAAGCGCTGAAAGGACCAGACACTGATCAATGGCGCCAAGTGATGAATAACTAAATCAATGCAATCAAGAAATTACACACCTGGGAAATTATTGTCCCACCACCAGACACCAATGTCATCAAGTACCATCTTGTCCTCAAGACAAAACAAGACAAACTTGGCAAAGTCTCCCGCTACAAGGCAAGGCTAGTTGCAAACAACTATGGACAATGCCAAGGTGTTCACTACACCAAAATGATTGCAGCAGTTGCAAAGTTACCATAAGTAAGAGCTATCCTAGTGAATGCCACCAGCCAGGATGGCATATCCATCAAATAGACATCAAAAATGCATACCTAAATGCCCCACTCAAAGAAGACGTGTACATGACTCCTCCGATACCTTGAACCAAAGGACAACCAGAAAGTCTGCAAATTAAAAAAGAGTCTCTATGGGCTCAAACAGGCTGGACATGAATGGTACAAGACACTGGCAAATATACTGCAAGACATTTGATTTGAACAATCAGCCATTGACCATGCAGTTTTCTATTACCACAAGTCCAATGAATCTGTAGTACTGTCAGTATCCATACATGATGCAGGCCATAGGATTGTTCAAACACAATATAGCAAAATATTTTGAGGTATTTGACCTTGGACATATCAAATGGCTTCTAGGATTTGCTATAGAATATAATCAAAAGTCACACACCATAGCAATACCCCAGAGAGTGTATATTAATTATTGAACACTTTGGACTGAAGGACACAAAGCCAGCACTTACCCCATTAGAACCTTGGATATCCCTCAGCATCAAACAATCACCATCTACACCAAGGCAGTTCAAAGAAATGTGTGACACACCCTATCAAGAGGCTATCGGATGCCCCATATGGATCATACTAGGGTCTCTGTAAGGACCATTTACGTTTTCTTATCTTTTTGTTCTATGTCTTGGTTCTCAGACACTTTCCCCATTACACCTCTGGCTCTAGGGCTAGAGGTATCTTTTTCCATCTTGCTTCTCATAGCCCAAACAGGCTTTCTTAATCATTGCTACCACTTCATATCGCAGATCAGGGATTGGGTAGTACTCCCAGCCAGCCAGCACAAAGGGTAAGGACTAGTAGCTGAGATTTCACCAATTAGCTCCAAGCCCCATCAGTGCCTGGAAATATTAATAGACACTTTAGTCAGGATCGTACCTCATCATGAGAATACAATTCCTGAACATGTGTGACACTACCTATTATTAGTACATTTTCTCACTGGCTGATTAATCCCTGAAGTTATACAATAGTGGTTCTTTTTTCTTATTGGATAGTTTCATCCTCAGACCACTTTTCTTTTATTCTACTTTGGGTCTGAGAGATAGGCAATTAGCTATAAAAACCCTACATACTCATGTATCATTCTTTAGCTTTTTATTACTTGAATAACCCACTTTGCTCCTCATCAGAAATCCTTGAGTTTACTCTCTGTCCTCTACCTGCTATAATCTCTAGCAGCTGTTGACCTCAAAACTCATTGTACCTCTTACTCCCTGCAAGTGCAGTCGGAGACAGGTGTTGTTTTTGTTATAGTTTGATATTGCCTCACAGTCTCAACCAGACGTGACTTTTGCCACAAATCTACTAGCTCAATTCACTCAAAATCTGGCCAAACAACACTGGGAATCAGTCAAATAAGTTATCAGCTACCTCAAAGGGACTCAAGAACTTGCTCTCAAGTCAGCTGATGGATTTGAACCAATGATCTCCTACACAGACACTGACCACACATCCCAGGATCACCAACACTCTATTTTAGGCCATGTATCATTCTTCTCAGGCTTACCAATTGTATGGGGAGCCAAGAAACAATCAGTAATTGCATTATTAAGTACAGAGGCTGAGTATATAGTGGCAATGTATGCACTCAAGGATGTCTTTTGGCTCTGAAGCCTTATCGGTGAAACCAGATCTCCCATAAACAAACCCACAATACTCTACTGCAACAACCAAGGAGCAATTGCCCTGTCCAAGATCAACAAATATTATCCCTGCAAAAAACACATAGACATACAATATCACTTCATCCGAGAGGCAGTTGATGATGACTACTATTCTGTCCTACAAACAACATGATAGCAGACATATTCACTAAGTCTCTATCAAAGGTTAAACATGATAAATTCACTCATATGATTGGTCTATACTAGGATTGAAGGGAAGTATTAGAATATACAATCCATACTATAGACTTAGACACAGCTAGTCTTGAGCCAGCCATTTTGGGAAGGCGCAGAATAAACCGTGCTGGAGCCACTTCCCAAACATCTGGAGACATTTGATGGGCAATAAGTGCATCGTGTCACACCGGGATTTTTTGCCTCTGTTATTTGATTATCTTATCTTATCTGTTGGTCATTGTACATACTTATGCAGTTTCTCCAAGTCACATTGTGTGATCAATGCTGGATAACATGAGTGAAGACCAGACATCCAATAACTCCATCAGCCTCTCAGATGTCAATGAGGATACTGACTACAATCCTTTCATTGCTGATGATTTGTTTGAGCCAGATTATGATCCACTGGCAGACAGCAACAGCTTGGAGTTCCCTTCATACACATCATCCCCCATTCAACTTGCCAACACTCGCCGTTTAAAGGAGAACCTAACAGGAAGTCCCGCAGCCAAAGTTTGAGCTATCCTGGACTACATGAATTCAGTAGGCCCTGACTTACCATTATTTTTGGATTTCCTTAGTTGGGGTGATCACGAGCCCATCATTGACACAAAAATATGGTATGCAAGGACTTCGTTGATGGTCAGTGCTGAGCTTCTGTATGAAGGACGGCATAACATAAGCCAAAGTCTTTCCAGATCCAGCAATAATGGTGCAGTTGAGTTCCAAAGTAAAGGCCTCAGTGGCATCCACTTGCCATGAATAGGGGTTGCGCCATTGCATTGTTGGCGGACAAAATTTCGAAGTGATTCTTGTAAGTCTGCTTCTTGGCCTACCACTTCAGCTTTCTGACGAGCCTCTACAAGGTTGGTATAGGATTTCTTTTTAATGGCTTCATGGAATAGATATTCTGTAGGGACAGTGACCATTTGATGAAGCATGGAGAGTGACGAATAATTGAATGATCATTGGATATGGGACTCATCAATATTTTCTGATTTCTGTACTACTAAGCATGATTATATCATGATAATCTTAGTCTAAAAGCGGCAATCATTGCCTAAAAGAGTTGAATGTCTGTGACACCGTGACTTGATGCACTCGTTGTCAATGATGAGAACTGCTGTTAGAAAACCACACACAAAAACAAACTAACACGCAATCCTCTGAGATTCCACGGAACTTGTTTATGGGCTTTGCCTCCTAGAACAGTGGAGTGGTCTGGTTGTCCGTGGGGTGGTATGTATGAGGATCCTTCAAAGTAAAACCCAGAGGTGTATGAGTGTGGGTTTTGAGGAGGAGGGATAGTTGAATTTATAGAAGATAGGGGCTTAGTGATGAGTATGAATGAGCACTACCTTGCTAATCGTGACACAAGGTAGGTTTGAGAACGACAATATGATGAGATTCCCAGTGATAGCAGGCTCCTAACGCACAAACTGTAGTGCTCAGAAGGACTCTAATCGAAAGGGATGACAATGACTTCAAAAGTGGGAAGCGACAATGACAGCAGTTGACAGTGGTAGCAGTGGGAAGTGTTTTGACCACACTGGATCACAAGCAGCAGAGTAGTGAACTTGAAATTAGAGAAGAAGTCTGGAATTGAGTTCTTGTTATTTTACAAGGTAAAATACAGGGGTTATATAGTAAAAGAAAAGTAGGCTATGCACAGTATAGCTGTGCAAAAAGAATGAGAAAGAACATGAAGGAAGGAATGTACGCTGATGAATCCTGCGTAGGTAGTACAGGATAAGATTGTAAAAAAAGGAAAAGAAAGAGATAGAACAATGAATGCTGTGAGTAATATCACAGGTTTGTACAGCCATAAAGTAAAGTCCAATAGCAAAAAGAGTACAGGAAAATCATGATGTCATGGGAAGATGCAGTAAAAAAAGGGCAAGGCAAAACATTATCAGTATCAACACAGTTCCTTTATTGTCAGTCAGGCATTCTAAAAAATATGTGTCCATAAAAATGATTCAAAAATCAAAAATAATCGCACTGTAAATGAATGTTCTGCTGAAGAAAAAGAAACTAGAGCCACCGGTCCACCACCTAGCCCAAATCCGACAGTTCCATGGCCTTACCAATGGACTGGTTGTGTTGGACCACCTGATCAAACAAGGGAGGGAGAGGAGTAGTTCCAATTTGGAACAAGTGAGTCCCAGGCAGCGTGTGGTAGGTGTAGCTGTAGCGAAGACAATGGACAAAAGATAAGTGTACCCAAGTGAATGGGACAGCAATGAACACGGGCAACACAAGGGGATGAACCTTCTCCAGCTCAAAAACTACCCACCCACGCTCCAACCAGGCAAAACGAGCGACCGATGTTTTGATAGTATATGATGGCAGATCGATGTCATGAAGATGGACCTGTTGCCCTATTTGGACCGGCCGCCGGGGCTTTGCTGATATCAGCAGTGGCACGTGGTAGTCAAGGGATCGGCGACGGAAGCGGATAGGAAGTGGTGACATCAGAAATGGTGGGGGTGCAAATAAGATGAGGAGGAGGAGGGTGGAGGTGACGGAAAAGTGGATTAGAATGGGGATCCAGAAACAACCGTCAGGTGAGAATAAAAAGGAGAGGAAGGGGCCCATGGTGGGGCTAGGCAAAGTAAGGGGAGTAAGGGAAACAACAAAAGCGAGGGCGCAATGCAATGTGTAGCCAGTGGCGACGCGAAAATTTGCCGAAATGCCAAAACGCGGACAGTACCGGATGGAAAAGCAAAGGTGAGCATGACTGGATTGCCTAATAGAGGTGGTGCTGATCAGCCACAAGTTCAAAAAAAGCAATATTAATTACTATTCTATGTGGCACTGTGCCTGTGTGGCACAAAGGCGAGTCTTTTTGAATATTCGCTTCGTTATTGACACCTGTCTATGCTACCAATCAACTTTGGTGCATGACACCAACCAAGCCCAAAGTACGTCCATCCCATTATTTTATTGATTTCTCTCTCACTTATCCCTGTTCCAGTTCAATGCTTTCCTATTTAAAGGACCTAAGCAATATTATCACACCTTCATGGACCCCCTTATCAAGGCAGAGGCAGCTCCCTTGAAGAGTTACTGCGCCCTTGAAGATATACTCCACATCCTATTTCCCCTATTTGAACTCTTCCCATCTACACCGGGTGCTCTCCCTCAAGAAAACCCCTTGTTCACTGCCTTCAAATGCCTTTGACAGGAAGGGCTTTACTCATCTGAGTCAGGGAAGTGGACTGCTGCAAGTTCCTGCCCGGATTTGACTAAACCATGGAGCCCTGGCTCAGAAGGAGAGGTTGCAGACCTTCTCAACTATCTGGTTCACAAAGTTGATCAGCTTGTGGATTCCGGCACCTTCAAGAGGTCCAGATGGTGGACTTCTGTGCATGCTGTCCAAGCAGTTGGTGATGCTGGTGGAGGCGCCGCCCAGATCTTGTACTCATATCCTCCAGTGACACGTCTTATCCCCCTAAGCTCCCTCCTGCAAGTATGAGAAATGCCGACAGTCTTGGCGAGCTCAAGGACCAAGAGGAAAATAAAGCCTCTTTTGACAAGGTACACGAACAGCTTATGGGAAGATTGTCATTTGTTAGGGGCTGCACAAGACCGACATATCTACACTCTAGGTACTTCTTATATTATTGTCTAGTCTCCTATTAATCTCATACACTTTTAAGGTCTTTCTATACAGGGTTCTTCCTTCACTTTGCTCTAAATGGATCAGGGTAGCTCAATCATTACATTACATTTGAACTCAATCTTCACCAGCAACCGACACTTTTCCTTCACCTTCTCCTTGGATTTTCCCATGGCTCAGACGGGTGTTTGGGCTACAATACTAGGGCTAACCCCAATTATGTTTGCGTCAGCGCTTTGGGTGAATTAAAGGTTCACTATATTCTCTTCATGTCTGACAGCATCCATGGATGTAGAACTGTAGTCAGGCGAGCACAAATACCTATATTGAGAATATCAGATGACCCATGGATATTGCGGTTAAAAGGTGTCAATCTGATAGTGAAGAATGCTTGGTATGATACTCGCCGTCATCTTACTGAGGGTACAATTCTTTGCCTGCTTAAAGCAAAAGGAGTAAAGGGAGTCCCACATCTCATTTGTGAAGAGAAAGTTTGCAGCTCAAAGTGATGGGCCCAGCATGATCAATCAAGCCAAAGTCCAGAATATAATTCTACGTCCAATATTCATAATGCCCTTGGCTCCACATTATCCCAGAAAGACAAGGAGAGGGCTCAAGCTTTGGCTCATCCACACCACCCTTACCAACTGTGTGTTCACATTCGTTTAACGACTACACCTGCTGGTGCAATTATAACAGATTTTAATTGCCTAGAGGAGCTCCTTGTTGTGATCATTGATCTCATCAAAAGCAAGTATTATATCCACCATTTATTTGTCTATACTAACATTAACTAGGTCACAAGATGGCGATGGCAACCTCTGTTTCAGGCCAAGTTCCTGTGAAAGTCTTACACCGGGATGGCTCAATCAGCAACTCCCTTATCATGGATCAAGCACTGTCTGACTGGCCCCCTTTGAAAGCTCCAGAGGGATGTGCACCTCCCAATACTCACATACAAAGGGGTTTACTTGCAGACTGGGGATTTGCAGCTGTATTTGAAGATACTGAAGAGTTAGTGGAGCATTCAGACAACTCAAAGGAACATTCTTGATGACGTGAGTGTCTGAAGATTCAGACCAGGATGACCACTATTTTGGATTGAAACCTGGTGACGTCCAGAAGCTGCAAGAGTTGGTGAAGTCCATGCTATCCACCGTTAACCATGAGGAAGAAATAATCCGCTCCAACCAGAGTGTCTATTTGCCGGATTCATTTTTACGTCATAATCAACCTGAGTGGACATTGGATGTTGCAGAGGGTACTCTTGATGAGGTTATACAACAGAGAGATCAGAGGGCTGGCAAGTTGATAATGGAAATCATGTTCTTGAGCGTACAGTAAGTATTTATATTGGCCATCGTTCAATTATTTTGTTTTATGTATTTTTTACAGGGGACAGAGCCTTTTATGGCGGTGGAAGTGCAAAATGCACAGCCTGGTGACTGGATTCAACACACTGCCCATCACAACCTGCAGTTGTTCTATTACACATTGCTGGCCATGTGTGTCTTGATGGTAAAGCCCTATGAGATGAAAGATGTAAATGCTAAAGAAAAGGATGACATCAAGAAATGGCTAAGTCCCGAGTTCACTTCAATGTTTACCCGCTCTGATTCTGCTTTCCACAAGTATCAGACCTTTGGCAGAGTTGATGGTCTCAGCTTGTTTCTTCAAAACTATGTATCTGAATACTTTGCCTTTATGATCCCTTACTTCAAGCACCTCTGCAAGGTTCGGTTTGGGTCCACATTGTTCCTCTCAAAAAGATGTGTAGAGGCAGGTCCGCCACCATTCTTTGTACTGTCATATGCCTCCCATGGCAATGTTCTTGATATCCTCGGGGAAGCTCTAGAGGAAATTCAATGCAATGAAAGGTGGAAGAATCTGAGGAGGCCTTTTAGCAGACTATCAGGGTTTGTCCATCATCTGGATCTTTGGAGGTCCAATGACGAGCAATTTGCATTTTAGGCCCCTTTGGTATTGAGCTACATTTCAGGTGCAAGGGGGACCAGTGGAAGTATGGCAAGGTATTCAAATTTGATCACTTCCTCCGCATCCTCTCTTCAGGCAGTCAAGGCATCCAATCATCTGCAAGCTGTTACTCTCCAATCTCTTAAATGCCGTCATAATGCCTTGTCTTTGTTCCTAATGTGACCTTATTGAACATCTGTAAAATTGGGTTCTCTGTAGCATTCATTGTTCCTTATTCTCCAACCTAATAAAATGCTTGTCAACCGTAATACTCCTCACCCATGCCCAGCATCATGTGGCAGATTTTTTTCCAGCAGCCGTGCCCTCAATACGCACCTTGGCTCTGCAAGAAGCTGTGCTTGGTACCGCTGTCATGCACCAAAATTGATTGGTAGCATGGACAGGTGTCAATAACGAAGCGAATATTCGAAAAGACTCGCCTTTGCGCCACACAGGCACAGTGCCACGTGGAATAGTAATTAATATTGCCTGTTTTGAACTTGTGGCTGATCAGCACCACCTCTATTAGGCAATCCAGTCATGCTCACCTTTGCTTTTCCATTCGGTACTTTTGGCATTTTGGCATTTTGGCAAATTTTCGCGTCGCCACTGGCTATACATTGCATTGCGCCCTCGCTTGTGTCATTTCCCTTACTCCCCTTCCTTTGCCTAGCCCCACCATGGGCCCCTTCCTCTCCTTTTTATTCTCACCTGACGGTCGTTTCTGGATCCCCATTCTAGTCCACTTTTCTGTCACCTCCACCCTCCTCCTCCTCATCTTATTTGCACCCCCACCATTTCTGATGTCACCACTTCCTATCCGCTTCCGCCGCCGATCCCTTGACTACCATGTGCCACTGCTGATATCAGCAAAGCCCCGGCGGCCGGTCCAAATAGGGCAACAGGTCCATCTTCATGACGTCGATCTGCCATCATATACTATCAAAACATCGGTCGCTCGTCTTGCCTGGTTGGAGTGTGGGTGGGTAGTTTTTGAGCTGGAGAAGGTTTGTCCCCTTGCGTTGCCCATGTTCATCGCTGTCCCATTCACTTGGGTACACTTATCTTTTGTCCATCGTCTTCGCTACAGCTACACCTACCACACGCTGCCTGGGACTCACTTGTTCCAAATTGGAACTACTCCTCTCCCTCCCTTGTTTAATCAGGTGGTCCAACACAACCAGTCCATTGGTAAGGCCATGGAACTGTCGGATTTGGACTAGGTGGTGGACCGGTGGCTCCAGTTTCTTTTTTTTCAGCAGAACATTCATTTACAGTGCGATTATTTTTGATTTTTGAATCATTTTTATGGACACATATTTTTTTAGAATGCCTGACTGACAATAAAGGAACTGTGTTGATACTGATAGTGTTTTTCCTTGCCCCTTTTTTTTACTGCATCTTCCCATGACATCATGATTTTCCTGCTCTCTTTTTGCTATTGGACTTTACTTCATGGCTGTACAAACCTGTAACATTACTCACAGCATTCATTGTTCTATCCCTTTCTTTCCCTTATTTTGATGATCTTATCCTGTAGCAACTACGCAGGATTCATCAGCGTACATTCCTTCCTTCATGTTCTTTCTCATTCTTTTTGCGCAGCTATACTGTGCATAGCCTGCCTTTCTTTTCACTATATAAACCCCTGTATTTTACCTTGTAAAAACAACAAAAAACTCGATTCCAGACTTCTTCTCTAAATCTCAAGTTCACTACTCTGCTACTTGTGATCCAGTGTGGTCACAATACTTCCCACTGTTACCACTGCTATCTGCTGTCATCGTCACTCGTCATTTTTGAAAGTCACTGTCATCCCTTTCAATTAGAGTCCTTCTGAGCACTACAGTTTGTGCGTCAGGAGCCTGCTATCACTGGGAACCTCGTCACCTCGTCATCTTTATCGTTCTCAAACCTACTTTGTGCTACAATTAGCAAGGTAGTGCTCATCTATACTCGTCATTAAGCCCCTATCTTCTATAAATTCAACTATTCCTCCTCCTCAAAACCCACACCCATACCTCTCTGGGTTTTACTTTGAAGGACCTTCATACATACCACCCCACGAACAACCAGAGCACCCACTGTTCTAGGAGGCAAAGCCCATAAACAAGTTCCGTGGAATCTGGGAGGATTGTTTGTTAGTTTGTTTTTGTGTGTGGTTTTCTAACAACAGTTCTCATCATCGACACCGCAAGGGTAAATTGAGATAGATCCTAACCCAGCAGGATGGCAACTTGCAGAGGCAAGGATTTCTGGTGGAAGAAAATTTAGATAAACCCTACGGCCCTCCACATCCATTCCAGGAGGAATCTGTAACAACCAAAAGTTATTTACCCTGGCGCACACAGGAACACACTATAAAGAAGATGATGGGGAGTGGTTACCCCTTAGGCTGCAGTGAGTTAGTTGTGCTAGACAACAGGAGGACTCGCTGAGTCCTTCCCCATGTATTGCTCTTGTATATATACTAAAATACAGAGGTACTGTACAGTTGTAAATAAAGTTCAAAGTCCGATGTCTAGCATGTGACCGGTCACATGATGAGTCTAGACACTGGTCAGGTGATGTGTCACATGACCAGTCATGTGACTATGAAAAGTCGAAAATGTAAAGTAAAGTAAATGGTCACATGACTGGTCATGTGACTTGGAAAATAAAAGTAGAAGTACAAAAGTGAAGCGTAAGTAGGTGCTGGTATGTTACTTGTAACAGAATCTATTGGAGATGCCATGGAAGATATTGAAGAAGATTTATTTGCATTCATCCCACTCAAGCAACCTGAACAGGAGGATCTGGAGCCAGGGGAGGCAGCAAGTCCTTCTAATCATCCAAATGCCATTTCCCTGAATGATAATGATGATAAGCATGTAGAAATTCTCCACCCCACAGCAGGTCAGATAATATGTATGGACCATACCTTGCATGAGAGATAGAGAAAAGAGTTTGAAGGGGCAAAAGGGGCTGTAGCCAGCTATGGGGATGTGGATATGGATAATAATTTCCCAGTTGCCTCTGGACCACAGCATACTATATTCTTTCCATTTGCATCAGAAACAGACTGACGAGTCGCCTGTTGGGCAATCCAGGATGGAATAGGTCACAAATCATTTGACTGTTTGTTAGCTATTCCAGGGGTATGTCTTTATTCTATTCATTTCCTGGATCTCCTTAAAGAAGCCATTGTTTCAGGTCAAAGAGAGACTGAGATTGTTCTATCACAACATTAGAGGGCTACACAAGATAGTTGACTCTGGTATTCCATCCAGAGCTGATTAGACGTCAAAAACTATTGCATTCCCAGATGCCCCTGATGACAAGCATCTAACTTATTACTGTGACGTCCTTTCTGCCACTTGTAGCCTCCTTGGCAACCCAGCCCATGCAAAACACATTGTCTACAAACCTAAGAAGATATTCAGTAATGCATAAAAAGAGAATAGAATTTACAATGAAATGTGGACTGGAAATAGGTGGCATGCAATCCAGGTCAGTATTACGCTGGATATTAATTTTATTTGAATGTTGACTCTTATGTGTGCAGGCACGTCTATCTAAGGGAGCAGCTCTTTCACCAGTCATAATTGCTACAGAAAAAACACAATTGATGCAGTTCTCAGATTCCAAATTTGCCTATCCTGTGTATCTAACTTTGGGCAATATTCCACGTGCAATACAATGGAGGCCAAGCCAGCATGCCTGTATCTTATTGGCTACTTGTCTGTAAGCAAAATTATAGGCATGCAACTCACTTCAAGAGAAAAGTCATCCAGAGTGCAGAGACTATTTCATGAGTCAATGAAGATTATTTTGGACCCATTAAAAAAAGTTGGGAGGGATGGAATAGAGGTAGTAGGAGGAGATGGAGCAGTAAGAAGAGTATACTCTGTGCTAGTCTGCTATGTGGCCGATTATCCAGAGCAGTGTCTGGTGACGTGCTCAAAATATGGTACCTGCCCCAAATGCAAACAACCTCCAGAAGAGCTTTTAGCCTCTACTGCAAGAGAGCCACATACTGATCAATGGACAGAGTCAGTAATTAACAAGGCTAAGGAAGATACACATTTATTCTATCAGTTTCAAGAGAGGTGCAAGGAGCAACTAGTATCTGGATCCGTCTACAAGCCTTTTTGGACCAGGTTTCCTCACTGTAACATCCATATTGCAATCACTCCTGATGTCCTCCATCAGTTATTCCAGGGCATTTTCAAGCACATGGTGCATTGGTGCCAGAAAATACTAGATCCTAAGGAACTTGATGCATGCATCAGAGCACTTCCTTCCTGCTTTGGTGTTCGTTATTTCAAGGATGGCTTTTCTGCTCTTGGTCAAATAGGGGGGAAGGAACGGAAAGATATGGCAAAGATACTATTTGGATGCCTTATTGGCTAACTTCCACGTCATGCTATCATCACCTATCAATCACTTTTAGACTTTATTCAGATAGCACAATACCTGACGTATGATGATACCACCTTGGGCTACCTTGCCCGATCTCTCAATATTTTTCACCAACACAAAGATATCCTTATTCGTCTTGGAGTCAGGGACCATTTCAACATACCTAAATTTCATTCCCTCTTACACTACCAGGAGTTTATCACATGGTTTGGCACCACCAACAACTACAATATGGAGATGTTTGAACAATTTCATATAGACTTTGCTAAAGATGGATAGAGGGCCTCCAATAAGAGGAATGAAGCTCCTCAAATCACCTGGCTGCTGCGTAGGGAAAAAATATTTGCTTTTGAGAATTATCTTAAAATGAGCATGGAAAAAGACGATGAAGATTTCTTCCTTTGTGCCAAGCCTTAATAAAACTAAGTGAAACTCAGCCGCTGCCCAAGAGGCTATAGAAATGACTGAGGTATTCCTATACTAAACCCCTTACTACTTATAGTCGGAGGTGCTACTCGCTACAATATAATAACTCCTAGAAGAACAATGGTTACTCCATGGAGTGGTGGCTATGCTCCATGGAGAACAATGGCTGCTTTGGCAGAGACCGGGTTTATCTGGTTTTGTCAAGTCTCAGGATCGTCATATCATTATTGCAAAGAATCCAAGCAAATCCCAACAATCACTTATATCTATCATGGAGAAGCACTCCTGCCCAGGCTTTGAGGACATACTCAAAATCTATCTTAATTCAAAATTACAGCAGCCCCACGCTATGAAATGACACAGGGAATAGTTTCGAGCAAGCCGTGTGATATAAGGTGTATTGAGCTTGGAATGTACACATAGCAAGTAGGTATTTGTATTTGTACTACATGAAGTAATTGTAGTGGATAGGATGTTTTACACATAGAGATAATCCTACCTTGACTATTGTAGAATGCACATGAGAACTTTCCCTTATGGGAAAGTCCTTTCTCTCCTGACATCAGATTTTCCCGTGAACCCGTACTTACTCATTCTCCTGATGATTTTACACCTCAGTCTATCATTCAAAGACTGAGGTGAGGATACTCTTATACACACATTAATAATACATGACACTGAAAGTACTATAGTCTTTTATTCTAGTTTTATAATTTCGTCAGTAATGAATGACCATGTGTTATTAAAAAGAAAAGAAACTAGTGATCACGAGCATCTTATCATTTGACTGTGCCCCTAGCTTGAGTCCAAGCTTCCATCTTGCTCTCAGGGACCACTTGCACTCGCAGTGTTCATGTTTTGCTGGAGAACAAAGGAGATTTGAGCTATCAATATCCTTATGAGGTCCTTCTTCACCATGCTTCCCATTCCAAGGCCCCGAGGTATAGTCGAGTTTCGTACCCGGTGAATCTCCAGTTGAATGATTAGCTTATCCTTGGTGAGTCAATTCAGTTCTTCTTCATTTGGTGTCAGGACCATTGCTATGGCACCACATTCAGCCTCTCGGCTTGCCGTCTTCTGTGCTTCCTTCTGCTGCCTCTCTGTGACCCTCTGCCTCTTTACTTGGACCTCGCCCTCTTCATTCTGAATAATATTGAGGAGGTGCATGGCATGGCAAAAATCTTCTGAGGTGAATGTTGCGTCCACAAATGACTGTGTGTCATTGTGGCAAAATTGTGTGATCACATTGTGGTGATGCATTGATAAGGTAGGCTTATCTCATGCACGCAGCCAAAATGCGCCAAGGGCCCCCTTGTTTGCATTATTTCTTGCAGGCATCCATGCAGCATTGCACTCCTTGGTACTGGCTTGGTTGATTGTGCCTCCTGGCGCAAATTCAGTTGTGAATGACTCCTACTTGTGGAGTGCTTCCTAGAATAGGGCTAGTGTGATTGGAGACAGATGCTCAAGCTTGAAGCCAAGTTTGAATGCTGCAGTCATAGCAGCAGGAGTATACCAGGGCTGACCACCAAAGCAAGGTGTCTCAGGGGGCACATTAGCACCAAAGATCAGCTTGGGATTGGTATAAATGAGTTTGAGGTGCTGTTTCGGTTCCTCATGTAACAGTCCCAAGTCCAGCACATTGAGAGACTCTGTGCCTGGCCCCCAAACCATCTTCAAGTATGGATGCAAGACTATACTATCATATATCACAATGGTAACAGCCTCCATTATTGTCTTCAAACAGTGGAGAGCCTTGTACAAGCTGACTTCTATGAGATTGAGTTTCCGGTGACCCTTCTTATCTTGTACAAATTCCAGAAACTCAAGTATAGCTTGATGATCCATGAGAACTACCTCCGCAGCTTCAGTATGAGACTGGAACCTGACATTGCTCATGTCGGGAAATTGACTGGCCACCAGCCCTCTGTTTTCCATATACCAGCAATATGTGTCTTTATTGTTGAAGATTCTGCTTGCAAGACTGATTGCCTTGACTGCTCCTTGGCTTGACTTGTTCAGTGCATGCGCCTTGGCAGGAGTTGGCTCGCAATCAGCACCATAAGAAGCACCCTGTAGCGTAGCGTTGCATCATTATCCTTGTTTGCAAGGAGCACTGCATCTAGTTCCTTGTGCATGCAACACCCTGCACGTACAAGGAACTCAGCCTCATGCTTCTCTGCCTCTGATAACCCAAGGTAGGCATCTTGTCCAAGTGTCCACACCATGGAAAACTCTATTGTTAACTCCAATTTGGTGCGCTTAAAGGGTAAGAGGCTGTTCCAGCACTCGAGCCCACCAGCCTCTGCAACCAGCTGATGTTTTGCACGGCTCAGGGCTTCAGCAAATGATGGTGAAAGAGCAGGCTTCTTGGACAAAGCATTATTGCCAAGATCAGCCAGTAACTTCTCAGATTTCCATGCTTGGAACAGCCAGAAGGACTTCTTCATCAGGAAAAAGCCTATTGATATATAGCAGAGGGGTTTGTACAGTACATATGTGCAAATAAAACCTATTATAGCACTATATAGCAGAGGGGTTTGTACAGTACATATGTGCAAATAAAACCTATTATAGCACTATAAGAGCAACTATGGTGACTATGCCGCTGATCAGTGGCATAGTCTTGTAAATTGTTGCAAGAGCAGCTACTGACAATTGAAGGCCTTCTAGGGTTCTTCAAAGATTCAACTCCCAGAAGCTGCATAACTGGTTTGGCAGGTGTTACATCATTCTGGGGATGGGAGGTAACTTTGTATAAAACATGCCAAGATTCATAGTTCACATGCCTATCAGATGTTCCATCAGTGCTGACAGTGAGACTTACAAGTATATAAGTCAGATTTCAAGCACTCTAACTTGGGATTATGCTCACTCTTTGTTTGTGCCGTCTCATGGGCCAACTGGACCTTTGCTGCTACACCATCCTCAAGTATTGCGCTTTCACTGGCAGCAGTCTGCCTACTCATCTATGGAGGTATGGGCAAGCCAAGAAGCTTGAACACCTGCTGGATGAGCTTATGCACAGCTTTGTGCACACAGCCAGCCAGAACAAGTGATCTCACGAGAGAGCAACTTTGCTGTGAGTAGACCCCCTTGGAAATGATGCACCGCATTGCCAACTGATGCAGTGCCCCCTATTTTCTCCACGTCAGTGCACTTGCGTGCTTCTGGGATGTTGAAAGTGCACACATCTGATAGGTGCACACTTGTCCTTCAAGTCATCCTTCGGAGATGCAATGTCTGCCTCACTCCTTTCAGCACAAAGTTCGAATGCTCTAATGTGCCCCGCCAGCTCCTCCTTACGTCCCGCTGCCTTTTTCAAGGCATCCTTCTGCATCTGTGGAATTGTGATGGTGCAAACTTCTTTAAGGCTTACCTTGGCTAACCGTGCTGCAGGTTTTGAACAAGTGTCCTTGCGCCTCTTGTTCTGAAGGAGGATGTGCAGCCACTGCACTCTCAAATATACATCATGAAGATTTTCAGCTGCTGCACCCGCACTCTGCTCCAGTGCTTGTAAGGTACTCTTCATTTACATGGCCTCCGCACTTCTGGCTGCAAGCAAGGCCTTTTTGCTTGCCAGCTCAGCATTCTAACATCTAATGCAGGAATGTTTTTGTGTGAGAGCCTTTCTAGCAAGACCCAAGTTGCAGTTGGCCTTTGACAACTTAATTTGAAGGCTTTTGATTGTATGTGAGTGAGCAGCCCTGCGTGTTTGAATGCCAGCTTGACTCGGGGCATTATAGAATGAATTATTATTGTTCTCTTTGTCAAAATTGAGGTGCAGGCACCACAACTATTGTGCTTGAGCAAGGTGGGCTGCCTGGGCTTGCAAGCACTGTTTTTTGCAGCAAGGCATCAAAGGCTAGCTTGGGCTCGAAGATATGCATTAGGCAGGCTCTCAAGGCACACAGAGTTTGTAAGGACTATCCAGTAAGTGAGATTAAATTTTCAGCACAGAAAGGAGCAATGACTGTGATGTTTTGCCAGGGACAGTTGAGGCAACCAGTGCCCACGCATCATAAAACGCGCTTGTGGCAGCATGATGCGCCAATTTAACTACCATCCCTTCATATCCTAAAGGCTCATGTTATTCATCACTCTCTGTGCAAGTTGTGGCACATTCTTATTTCACTGTATATACCTTTGATTTGTTGTGATTATTTCTACAAAATCTGTACAACTACCTACTGAATTGAACATGAAATAGTGTATATCTCACTCAAAAAAGAAGAACCCATTTCCTCAGAGAACCCTGAAATCAGCTGGATACTCAAGGATAAAAAGGCACATGAAATTACCTAGGACCACATCTCCAATGCCCTCCTAATGAGGACTGGACACTTCACCAGTATCAGAACCGTGACCTGTGGAGTATTTGGAGTTACAGAATACAAAGATGGAGTAGGGGGTAATGGAGTATGAGATGGGGAATTGGCTTAGCTTGTGTGCTAAACCCTTCTGCAGACCTTGGTCCCCAACTTGATGGAAAATGGACGGAGGAGAGTAGAGGATGGAAAGGGAGCAGAGCAAAGATCCTTTGGAGAAAGATCTGAAAACTTAGAAAGAGACTTGTAAAAGGCAAGGGAATCTAGTTGGTATTTGAGCTGCTGGAATAAAGTACAGGAGCTACAACTTATATTCTGTCGGAGGAGTAAGGGCTTGTAAGGAATAACTCATAATGTAGGTACAGAGCTCCATGCGGACAATTATCTAGCAAGAGAGAAGCATATGTGCAAGGAGTGTATCATAAGGTCTAAATTACAGAGTCCATGAGGAGCACGGGAATATGCATAGAAAAGCATATGACGGACTAGAAGTCTAATGTAGGAGTATTGGAACAGGAGTCCGAAGTACCATGTGGGGGTGGGACGGGGAAATATCTCTTTTGGAGATGCTGGAGTCCTGTTCTCTAGTACAGATATGATAACCAGCTCTAAGGAGTTATTTGACAAACTTATTTCAGTCCATGGGACATCCAACATTACCTCTGCCTTTGGTTCATTTCAGCAACTCACCAAATTGTCCTGGGATGGAACATCACCTATCAAAAATCCGGACTATTGATTCACACCTCTCTGGAATGAAACTGAGAGTTGATACCAAACTCATGGCTTTCACTCTTCTCCAATCTGTTCCATGCACTCCTGAATGGCAAATACTCATTAATAATCAACACAATTGAAGAAGATAAACTTACCTCTGATGCAGTTAAGATCTGAATCACTGCAGAAGTTGCACAACAGTCAGGAAAAGCTCCTGGAGGTTCAGAGTCAGCACTCAAGTCCAAGGAGAAGTGGTGTGACCTCCATAAAGTCAAATCACACAACACCTTGGAGTGTTAAACACTTCAGTCAGCTGGAAAAGGTTAAAAGAAGAAGAAAAATGCCATATCCATACTGGAAGAAAGAATTCCAACATTTCCGAAGGAGTTGTTCTCCGGGCCCAAAACCCCCAAACCATTGGTATACTCGGGATTATGTTCCTTGTGGTCTGCCGGTCAGCATAACTCTACCCTCAATTCCCACATGGTACTCCGGTTGTCTGCTCTGATACTCTTGCACCGGACTTCTAGTCCGCCATACATTCTCCTCACATGTTCTAGTATTCCTCGTGGACTTTGTAGTTAGACCTTATGATACACTCCTCACACATATGTTCTCCTCACACTAGATAAATGTCCACATGAAACTCTGTACCTATATTATAAATCACCCCTTACAAGCTCCTGCTCCCCCAACAGTATATAAGCTGTAACTTCTGTACTCTGTTCCTGCAGTTTGAATATCAACTAGATTCCCTCGCTTTCTTACCAGTCCTTTTCTAAAGATCTTTCCGATCCTTCTCCAAAGGATCTTTACTCTGCTCCCTTTCATCCTCTACTTCTCCTCCATCTACTTCCAATGAGTTAGGGACTAAGGTCCGAGGAAGGGTCTAGCACACGAGCTAAACCAGTTCCCCACCTTGTCCTCCATACTCCATTAATCCATCCCCGTACTCCGCAACTCTGTTACTCCAAAGAAGCCACAGTTCTGATAGGAAAGGAGAAACATAAGGGTAAAGGAAAGGAAAAGGCAAATATAGCAGAACAATTATCTGGATCTGACTCTGAGGTGGAACAGAGTCATATTGCATTGGAATGTGTATATATTTTCAAGCCCCTTGCTAAGCGCATTCAAGCTGATCTTGTGTTGGAACCCGATAAAACCAAAACAATAACCATCATTGACTCTGGAGCAATATTTCACATGGTCCCTCACTACTTTTGGTTTGAGCCATATTCTGAACTCTCCAAGGACAATCAGTTTTGGGGATGAATTCTCTGTAAATGCCATGGGAATTGGAACAGTGATTTTACAAGCATACCATACCAGCATGGAAACATCCCAAGAGCAGTGGGGCAATACCTCCATGAAGACATTCTGAGAACCGTTGGAGCACCTGATCAGCTAAGACACCCTCAACAACAGTCTCTAGAACCAAGACCTGAACACTGGTCATTTTCAGAACAGAAACCCAAAATAGAGTCACAGTCAGTGGGAGAACAGCTCCTCAACATATAGCCAGCTGATGTGGAGGAAGTCCAAAAACAGCTAGATAGCCTGTCCATTGGATCAGCTCCTGGAAGGCCTACAACACCTCTGAGGAGACATCAAACACCTTCAGGAGTGAGTGGGGGAACTCACATAACAGTGCATCTACTCACTAGAGTTCCTGAACAAGTTCCTCATAGAGTAGTTATGCCTGCTGAAGTCCTAGGAGTATGCCAAAGCAATCACCAGACTCATCCTGCACACAAAAACCAAGATTAACAAAGGACTCTACATGAGGAACAGTCTTGAAAAGAGCAGCACAACAGCTCCATGGAGAAACCTAACACTCCTGAGGTTCCCAGAGAGACATCTGATACAGAGGAGATTTTTTTGCTGGAATAGCCAGCACTGGTCCATCTAATACAGACCTTTCAAGGACACTAAAGGAAGCCTTATCACGTCCGGATGGAGAATTATGGAAGTCTGCCTTGGAGGAGGAACTCCTAAGTCTCAATACCAATGCAGTATATGACACTGTCCCACTTCCAAAGGGAGTGAAACCTATCACATCAAAACCTGTTTTCTGGATCAAGTTTGATCAAAACGGAAACATTGAGAGATACAAACGTTGCATGAGGTTTTACTCAAACGGAGGGGATTGATGTGGTAGTGTCCGGATTCCTCGTCGTGTTCTGCTGCGGGTGGTGCAATAGGGACATTTGTTTCGAGCTTGATTACCAGGAAGTTTTTGCTCTGGTTGCAAACTTAGAATCAATCTGAATTATTCTAGCCCTGGCAGCAAATTATGGCCTAGAACTTGATCAAATGAACGTATCCACAGCTTATCTTAATGGAGAACTTGAAGAAGAACTATACATGCTTCCTCCACATCAGCAAAAATTCATGTGGCACTGTGGCACTGCATAGTCTCTGTAGCACAAGTAGTGCTGTGGTTTAACCCCCTATATGTAGCCTGGGGTAGACATGCACTGTTGACAACAGACAGCTACTAATGTCTATATAGCCTGTTGTGATCAAGTTAAGCTACATTACCAAATTACAATTGTAGTCATCATAGTGCTATGTAGAACTCTTGCCCTTGTAGTGCCATGTAGACCTCTATTGTCAATGCAATAATCCACTCCGGATACCCAACCACTCATTAGTTAAATAAAAAATCCCAAAAATGGCAAAATGTTATAAGAACCATCACTTCAAGACTGAGATTAAGTCAGATACACATATTTCCTTGCTAGCCCCAGTATATTCATCCAGTTCTACAAGCTTATCTTCAGCATTTATCTCATGCCCATTAACATCTTTATTATCCTCCTCCTCTGTTGTACTTCTGTTTAGGTATTCTTGTAATGCAGCATCCAAAGCATCTTCCCACACAGCAGGGACAAACACCAAGGGCACTTGTTCTGCACCTGTGTAATACCTGTTGCATGTGGCAGTGTATTGAAATTATCAGTAAAACATATTGAGAAATTGCAATTATACCTAGCTGTGCAGAGCAATTCTTGTTGAACCTTCCACAGAAAGTCATACTTTTTTGTATGGTTGTCAAAGTTTTTGAGACACTTTAAATGCCCAGCAAATAATAAATCTAAGCAAAACTCAGCCAATGCCCAAGAGGCTATAGAAACAACTTTATTATTTACCTCAGTGAAACTACAATAGATGTCAGTTTAAGGTGATCTCTAATAAATATAATGTAACATACCTCAGGCGCTGCCCGAGAGGCTATAGAAACGACTGAGGTATTCCTATACTAAACCCCCTACTACTTATAGTCGGAGGTGCT